AGTTAAGGATTCGATTCGCCTCGTACCGAAGGTGCCTTAATTTTTTTTCCCCTTTTATCACAAAGAAGCTTGAGGGATTTCTCCCCATCCAAGGCTTTCCTCAACCTGGCTTGACAGCGGAGCAGCTCGGACTTAAGCTTGTCAAAGGCCAATGAAAAAGGAGTTCAATGAGAAAACGGAACTGTAGAGTCAAAAAACCAATAAAGTCAACAAAAGCTCACCATAGAACAAAGCCGTTGAGCCTCCTCAAAGGTTGAGCGTGCATTTGCTGGCCTAGTCTCACCGGCCCCAGTTGAACCGATCTCGGTGAAGACATGGTCGCTCGAGACCCCGCTTGATTTAGGCAGCCCCTAGCCTCGAACATCCTTCGAAGTTCCTTCGACAGGAGATAAGACGACAGCAAATCACCTGTATCCCTCAAAGTATCTTTGACAGGAAAAGAAGACAACGGAAAAACACCTGTATCCCTCGAAGTACCTTCGACGGGAAGAGAAGACGGCGGCAAAGGAGGAGCCACTCTTCCGAGGCTAGAAGTATCGGGTGCTGCAAGCTCAGCCGATACATCCCTTTTGAGCCTCCGAGCAGGGCTTGCCTTGCTATGAGCATTTTCGTCATTCGAAGATTTCTTCCGTTTGTTATCATTCCTCGACCCTGAAGCCGACGATCCTTCCTCCTCTCCATGAGAGCACGGTCTCATCTCAGAAAATTCTTCAATACCTGTAGTAACAGAGTTAATACACATAAAAGAAAGTACTTTTCAAAGAAAATAGGCCACGCAGCCCGTACCATGGTGTTTGGCCTCCCACAAATCTCGCCACTTACGCTCATCGAAAGATGAGTAAGCTGCCAATTTCCGAGGCCAATTCGGTAGATCGGGGACCTCGTATAGAAACCATGGGATCGCTGTAGAGAAGGAAAGGAAAACACTTTTATGGAGTCTGCCCCCACCATAAACAAAATGATAAAAGCACAAGTGCACCACTTATGTGTGAAATTCCATTTCTCGGGAAATGGCAGGAACTTTGTGTGTCTAATGTCAATGGCCCCACTCGGACGAATCGACTCATCCACCCTGAGTCCCCATCTTCTTCAGTATTGGCAATAAAGGGCCGGGAGGATCGATGTCATAGAGCAATCAAGCCTCGATAATATAAGGGTCGGTACAATCTAATGAGGTGGCCGTGGGTAAACTCGAGCCCGGCTTTATCCGCAAAGTACCTTATCATTAACACTATCCTCCAAAATGACGGGTGAACCTGTACCAGGGTAATCCAATATTTTCTACAAAACTGGAGCACGACTCAGCCAAGAGGACCCAACGTAAAGGGGTACATGTATACGTTCAAAAACCCCTCTACATGACTCATCATGCTCTCTTCCATGGAAGGTGCCTGCAATACCACCTTTTCTACCCATCCGTAGTGTCTCCTAATCGCCTTGAGGTGTTCCTCTCTATTGATGAGATAAACCTCAATGCATGTTCCCGATGGCCCTAAATATTGGGCGGTCTCTCTAAAGAAAAGTCCCTCCTCGAGACAAAGCACCTCGAGGTTAGCTCATCGGAAACTAGCGGTGTACCACCGACCGAGCGGGAAGCAGAGGCAGAACTCTCCTCCTCTTGGCGGACAAATTTAGGCATAGCGGACATAACTACTGTGAAACAGGAAGAAGGAGATGAAAACTTAAATGAAAGCTTTAAACTAAAGTGATGGAAGCACTGATGCAAGGAGGAAAATTTTTACAAAAATATCAAAGTCCTCAGATGAATGGAAAGTAAGCTCATATATAGAGCAAGCAGCGACTGCCCACCTAACCTAAAGGCTAATTAATTCTGACTAGGCCATTATCACTTTTTGGGGAAGTGTACCGGTGGGACCACCTGGATCACTTCATGACCATGCCATATGAATGACATCGTTATACAGCGTTCAAGGGGCCAAGATTCCCGTATCAATCAGGCCTCGAGATGGTGCCCGATCTCGAGGATCTCTACTACTATAACTATGGGCTCTAGGAGCCATCGATATCATTATGGCCTCGAGATAGTACCCGATCTCGAGGGTCTTTGTCCATATAAAAATGGGTTTAAAGAGCCATCGATTTCAATCTAGCCTCAAGATGGTGCCCGATCTCGAGGACCTCTGTCACTACAAATGGGTTCTAACAAAGAGCTAACAGTCTAGCCTCGAGATAGTACCTGATCTCGAGGATTTCGATTACTCCAACTATAGGCTGCAAAGAGCCGACGTCAAATTTCAAAGATTAAATTTGCATGTGCACTGGAAAATAAAGACATGAAGCAAAGAAATCTTTTGCATTTCCAAAAAATATATTTATAGAGTGTGTCTTTACAAAACTCCCCCAAGGAGCCCATACACAAAAGGAAGAAAATAAGAAACAGAAAGGATGATGTGAGACTATTCCTCACCCTCGGTACCGTCCGAATCACTGCCAGAGTCCTCATCCGAGGTAGTTGAAGGCGCTGATCTCTCCTCCAAGATTCTGGCTTTCTCGATCTCAACAGAGAGATGGAAACCTTCGGCATTTTCTTCCTCGAGGGCCTACCTCCGAGCTCGTAGACGAGCATAAGCAACGGCCTGAGCCAACTTCTGCTCGGCCTTTTCAGATATCTCCCTGGCTCGAGCGTTTGCAGTAGCAGCATCCCTCTTATGTGAGGATGCATCTTTAACAGCCTCAGCCTTGGCTACAGATAGTGCAGCGACCTCCTTCTTAGCATTTTGAAGAAATTTCTGAGTCGAGGTCAACTCTCCCCGCAGAAGGTCCCTTTCCGAGGTCACGACCCCATTCTGCCTCTTCAGCTCGAGGATCTCCGCATCCTTGGCCGCAACCTCTTCCCGAAGTTGCCCCATCAGGGCATCCTTTTGCCCAATCTGCAAAGGCGAAACAAGATCATAAGCATCAAGTCATAAGAATAAGAGGATGCGCACGTGAATGTCGTGTTACCTACTCAGCAAAGTTGTCCCTTTCCTTGTGCACCCCCTCCAGGCTTGCCCGAAGCACACCCAACTCCTCTTCCTGTCGGGTGGAGGAAGCCTCTGATTTATTTAGCTTCGAGGTGAGCTTCTCGAGTTCCTTCTCACGGCATGAGAGCTCGTCTTGGAGCTTAGAGAAGGCAAGGTCATACAACTTCTTGACCTACAACAAAAGCAGAAAAGTTGAGAAGGCAAGATAAAAACTTAAAGCGCCAATGGTATGTCGAGAATATTACCTGTTGTTAAAGCTTCTCAGCCTCCTTGAGAGCAACGGGGGCTTCGAGGTTTGTGTCCATGTCGATGCTGACGAAGTATTCCCCGAGCATATATTCCTCTCCATGAGAGGCCCCCACACTGGTTGTACCCGTATTCTGGGCATCCCTAATCTCCCCCACTGAAAATGAAGGGCCCAATTTAAAGCCACCCAGGGCATCAATTTCTGTAAAGATCTCTTCTCGACCCCGAGAAACTTCGGGTTAAGGCCCTCCGGAATTTCTAGCCAAGGTTTTATCGATACGGACTGTGCCATGTCCGATTTGAAGCTCAGGGACTGCGTCTAAACCCTCTTCGAGGGTCTTCTCAGCATGGGTTAGGTCTACATCGACCATTACCGGCTCGGCAACCATGTGCCCAGCATCCTGCGAAACATCCGCACTCCATCTTGCCCTTTATGCCAAAGGGCAATCATCATCGTCGTCACCTTCATCTTCAGTATGGGGACTTGCCACAGCTACCGAAGTCGAGATCATGGCGTCGATATTAATTGAAGACTCAGTCGAAGCTTCCTTCTTCCTCTTCTTACCCTTCCGAATTTCGAGGTTCCTTCTTCACCATCAACACACCTTCCTCGAGGCCTACACAAGCATGGCATATCAAACTCACCTCCACAAAGAACACTCATAAGATATTTGGCAACAACACTAAGAAGTGCTTACCATGGTTCTTAGCCTGCCACCGCGTCTTGGACAAATCATGCCAAGAACACCCACTGTAAGAAAAGGTAGAATCTAGTTGTTTGATCCACCCCAAAAGGTTCTGAAGCGCGGTGGGGTACCAAACGGTGGCTACATAGTCAAAAGAAGATAATTTCAAAAGGGGAAAGAAGGGGCAATAAAACAAACTCGAAGTAGGAACACTTACGCTGCATATTCCATTCCTCCGGGAATGGCATCCTATCAGCTGGGATAATGTTCGATGTCCTCACTCTGACAAACTGGCTCATCCACCCCCGGTCCTTGTCCTCATCGATGCTCGAAAAGAACATCTTCGCAGATTGAGGATGAAGCTTGATCAAACCTCGGTAGAGACGAGGACTCTACAACGTGACCAAGTGATCGAGGGTGAAGGTCATCCCCTCGACCTGATTGGAGAAGTGTCGGAGCATGTAAAAGATCCTCCAAAAATAAGGATAGATTTGACCGAGTGTCACTCGTTACTCACGGCAAAAATTAAGAATCACCAGATCTATCTTTGGGGAAGAAGGATCTACGGAACCTAGGGTGAATGGGTATGTATATACGCTGAGGAAGCCGGCTTTGTAATCTACTATGCTTTCCTCAGGCTTGGGGATCTCTACTTGAACTGCCGCCCCCCATCGATAGTCTTTACTCTCTACATATCGGTCACCACGTTGATGTACCGAGATACGGGCTTGCATAGGCCCAGGGTAGAAAGGGGATTTTCGATGGCAAAATCAAAATTGTATGGAAGTGGTCGGGGGTACATTGCTCAACCATCGAAGGTATTTTTGGTTTGCCCTTAGATGGGCGTGATGAGGAAGCGGCGCCCTCCTTATGAGGTACCGTTCGAGAGGTTCTAGCCATAATTATAAAAAAAGGTTTCTAAGGAAGAGGATGAAGAAGTAAGCACAGGAAGAAGATGGATGCATGAAGCTATGAACTTAGCCCTAAAAACTTGATGTTGTAAAAATGTGAACGGCAAAAAAATAAATTGAAGTATTTATAGAAGCCATTTGGGTGATGTTTGAGGAGCGAAAAGGTCAAACCAATGACGATTCGTGGGCTTCTCGATAATCGTGTTGATAGCGACTTCTGCGCAGCCTTTGAGTCATGGCATTTAATGCTTTGATAAACTGACGTCATAATGGGAGTATCGAAGAAGCAAGAATTCAAGGTTGTTTCTTATCATTCTATTCTAAGAAACGCAGGGACTATCTGTATACGGTTAAAATCGGAGAGCCAAATTTTATGATCATTATGACATCCCATAGCTCGTCTTTAGAAGGCCCAAGGCACGATTCGAGGCCCAACCCCGAGTGTTCCCTATGCTCGACCTCGGGGTAGAGCAAATTGGCGGCTATGATGAACGAGTGGGAGATTTCCAAGGTGAGCGGCTAGAGTTGACCAAGTCCATAAGAATAGTACAAGTCTGTATCGTGGCATTAAATGGTTGTTCCAGCTGCATATCTTTGTAATAAATGTATATGTACTATGTTGAAATTTTCCCTCCTATATAAAGGGGGCCCTTGTTATTTTTTGCGCGGATGATATTGAATATAAGAACATTCTCTGCTCTCTAACTTAAACACTTTCTATTGTCTTTTCTCAGATTTATTACTTACATTTATTGCGTTTCATTTATTGTTCTTCATTTACTACTCATCATTGATCATAAAGAGCTCTCATTAAAGCTCTTAGAACTATTAAGTTCTTCATCGGTCGTCCATACTCTAACGCTTAGCTCGACTCCGAGGCCCCGTATAGTCTAGCCCGAGACCCCGACTCTTGGCCACTCGGTTTGCATAGCGCACTATTTTTCAGGCTCTTATCTTATTTTCTAGTCTCTCACTTAGCATCTACTGCCTAACAACTAGCATCAAAATAAATCACATATTTTTAGAACCACAAAATCAAATCTAATTGTTATTACCATTTTCGAGGTAAAAAATAAGCCAAGTGGCAACATAATAAACAGCTATTTGGCAATGTTAGGACAAAATTAGTTAAGTTAGGTAATAATTGGTTTCTTTTTTTAACTTTAAATTTTAAAATAAATAAATTATGCACTATGTGTTGTTATAATTAGTTACTTTTTTGAATTTGAATTTAAATATCTATATATCTATATATAATAAGAGAGCCAAAGATACCATAGTAAGCCAAGTGGCCGCATAATAAAAAGCCACTTGACGGGTTTATATAGTAATATTATCTACTAATCAAATACAACAATAAAAAAATCTTATATAATAAGAGAGACAAAGACACCATAGTAAGCCAAGTGGCAACATAATAAAAAGTTACTTGACAATTTTAGGATAAAATTAGTTAAATTAAGTAATAATTAGTATCTTTTTGAATTTAAATTTTTTTTAAAAATAAATTATGCACTATGTGTTGTTAACAATTAGTTATTGTTTTTGAATTTGAATTTAAACATCTATCTATATAGTACATATAATAATTAGTAAGCCATGTGAAAACATAATAAAAAGCTACTTGACGGGTTTATATAGTAATATTATCTACTAATCAAATATACGAGTAGAAAAAAATATACGAAAAGAGAAAATTAGACTTAATGTTAGGATATTTATAATTTGAATTAATTGGGAAAATAATTTAAATAATATCACTCAATAAAATTATTGATAAATTTTTGACAATTTCTGAAAAACACCTAACCCAAAACCCACGTGTTTAAAAAGAAATTGCCCTTTATTCCATCATCAAAATCTTCTTAATTAAAAAAAAAATCTTCTTAATAAAAAAAATCTATTATTCTCAAAATTTCTATTTGATATGCCAACATATTTCAGCATTCTCACAAACAGTGATAATTATTACGAACAATATATAAATAAAAATTTGTACCATAGAAAGATTTCTTGGTTGCCTAAAATATTCTCCAGGGGATATATGTCTATCAATTCAGGCAACTTTTCAATCTATTAATTATATTATTACTCATATATTTTTATATTATTGCATCAATATTATCAGTTGAAATAGTAATATTATATTTAATATTTTCTGTGCAATGCGCTGGTATAAATACTAGTGTATATTTGAAAAGAAGCATTTTGGTCGTAAAGTTCTTATAGGGGCTTTTTGCGTTATTAATATTTTTATTTTTAATCCAAAAATAATGTTAATGACAATTATGATACAATAGATGGAAGAAGATGCATTTTTTATACTAAAAATAAGTTAGTGGCAATTTTTGTGATTTAATAAGTGGAAGGAGGGCATTTTTGACAGTTTATCTATTTTCCAAAGTTGCTGGTTCCATACCGTCCCCACCAGGATCACAACCGCCGATCGGCTCGCTCTTACTGCTAGTGCGACCTTCGGCTAGGTATCTTCTTCTTCTCTTCTCTTTTCTTAACTTTTTTACTTGATCTTCTCTTTTTGTTTTTGAGTTTTTGTTTCGTTTTTTTTCAATTGGAGAATGATTACGGAAAATTGAATACTCTGATTTTGTGAAAGTGAATTGCTAGTTGTGATTTACGAACTTATAGTGAATTTCTATTTGTTAATTTGTTATTGGGTTACAGAATACGCTCTTTGTCATTTAATTAGTGAAATTCATGTTTTTTAGCTTACAACGGCTTTTAAGTAACTTCTCATTGGAATTTAAATGAATTTGAACGTATTATTTGTTAATCATGGATGGCTTAGATAAGTAAATTATAAGAGTTACGAACTTCCTGAATAAGTAATACTATACTCATTATGTAGATTTTGCTTCTGCACCCAAGGGTGTCACTTAATGGTCAATGAATTGGGTTGAGAACCATGAACTCTAAGGTTCAAATCTCAGTGGAGACAAAAAATACTAAGTAATTTCTCCCATATGTCTAAGCTTTGGTGGACAAAGTTACGTAATACATGTTGCTAGTGGGAGGTAGCAGGTATCCCGTGAAACTGGTTATGATGCGCACAAGCTGGCCTCGACACCAACTCGATTTTGCTTCTTAGGTCATAATTTTTTTATTTTCCTATTTATTTGTTGCTTGGCGACTTTTAGTGATTATCTTATCAAGAGTGAAGTATTCACAAGTTAAAGGAAAATCTCCAAAATAGAGTTTTTCTGAGAGATTATTTAGTTTTATTTGAATTAAAAAAGAGATATTTGTAATGACTAGAATAAAAAGAAAGAAATTTGGAGAAAATTACTTTTCTGAAAATATATTTTGCTTGTTAACTTGATCCAATCACTGTTGCTTGTTGATTTGAAGTTGTTGTCTTAATAGAATCTACACCCAAAGGTGTGGCTAGTGGTCAATAAAGTGGGTGAGAACCATAAGGTCTCATGTTAAAATTCCAGTGAAGGCAGAAAATACTAGGTCATTTCTTCCCATCTACTAAACCTTGATGGATAGAGTTACTTGGCCTAGTACCTGTTATTGGTGGGAGGTGGCAGATACCACATGAAATTAGTCGATGTGCGTGCAAGCTAGCCCGGAAATCACAATAATAATTAAAAAAAAAAAAAATCTGCTATGGCGAACACCTTGATCACCACTGTGATTTTCGCTTACGTCTTTTGCCTTCCTTTTTTTATTGTAAAATGTTAGCAAGCTTTAAATTTTTAAGTGTATTTTCTATTTGTTTTTCATTATCCATTTAGCCGAAGCGATATATGGATCGGGTTGCACGCTGCAGCGATATATGAATCGGGCTGCACGCTGCAGCGATATATGGATCGGGCTGCACGCCGCATCGATATAGCGCTTGGGCTGTAGGAGCCCCTCCGGAGTTTGTACATCCCCAATGAGTGCAGTCGACTATATATATATATGGATCGGGCTGCACGCCGCAACAGTTATTATACAGCACTGAGTGATTTAGTGTGTTGAGTATTGAGCTTAGTAAGAGAGGATGCAAGGTAATGAAATTGAGTACTCTGAGAGTGTAAGTACATGTTTCACCTGTGAGATACATGGCATTCACATGCATACATGACATACAGGCATACATGACATACAAGCATAGATATGCATTCTTCCTCATGCTATATAGTATTACGCCATTCATAACTTATTATATACATTGATATATGGGTATGGAGAGGCATTTTATACTTATTATTTGAAAAGAAAATAAATATTTTATCTATTGTGGAAAAGATATTTGGAAAATTACAGTTTTCAAACTTACTCGTACTTTTGGCATTTTCGGTAAGAGATCTGAGATTTTCTTTCACCGAGATATTTGAAAAGCATGACCATTTTCTGGAACTGTGAACGAGCTGAGTATTTTACTTTTGAGATATCTCTTTTATACTTGCATTTATATTGTTATGAACTGTTGTGGAAATATTGGCTTTAGACCCGATCTTGTGTTAGCTCGTCACTGCTTCAACATGAGGTTAGATTTGTTACTTTTTGAGTACATGGGGTCTGTTGTACTCATATCGCACTTCCTATAAAGTGCGTGCAGGTCCCGGATGTCGATGTTGCTACGTTCGATGGTTGTTGGATTTGAAGGCGTACTCGCGTTCTTGTTGTAGCTGCCTCTTGTTCACGGTATCCTTAGACTATAAAATTATGTTTATGTACTTTTCAAACAGACCGTGTAATTGTTCAATTGTTGCTTGGTAAACTCCCTTCATAGAAACTCATGATTTGTACTACCAATCCTTGGGAAATGTATAAGATTTAGATAATTCTCTTGTTTAATTATTTTATTAAGTTAAATAAAACTGGATAATTGTTAATTGGCTTACCTAGCGGGTTGGGTTAGGTGCAATCACGACTGGTGGATTTTGGATCGTGACAATTAGTTAAATTAAGTAATAATTAGTATCTTTTTGAATTTAAATTATTTTATTAGTTACTGTTTTAGAATTTGAATTTAAATATATATTCTATCTATATATAATATGAGAGAAAAAGACGCCATAATAAGCCCTGATTTTACTGAATTTTTAGGTCCACAACTTTTCTTTAATTGCTTGAAGCTATTCACTAGGGATGGGCTTTTTATTGCCTAGGCTACCCCCCTCCCGAAAAAATTAAGAAAAAAGAGGAAGTGTTTTTNTTAGTGGTACAACTCCATTTTGTTTGTCTGAAATTCTTTAACTCCAAGGCATGATTTTACTGAATTTTTAGGACCACAACTTTTCTTTAATTGCTTGAAGCTATTCATTAGGGATGGGCTTTTTATTGCGTCGGCTAGCAGCCCCCCCCCGGAAAAAATAATGAAAAAAAGGAGTGCTTTTTGAAAAAATAAATAAAAATTGCACTCGAAAAGGCTCGTTCTCACTTACGGAAAGTAGAAACCGAAGCCGAGCAGTTTTGAGTGAATGGATACTCCGAAATAGAACGAGAAAAATTGAATTTGATTAATTCAACTTATAAGACTTTGGAACAATTAGAAAATTACAAAAATGAAACGATTCAGTTTGAACAGCAAAGGGCGATTAATCAACTTCGGCAACGGATTTTCCAACAAGCCTTGCGAGGAGCTCTAGGAATACTTTGACAATGAAATTCTGCCCCCGATCCCCTTCATAAAATTCATAAAAAAGGAGAGATTTATTGATATATTTATTGGATCTATCGGAACTTACGGGGCTCGAACCCGCATCTTCCGCCTTGACAGGGCATCGGGTGTTCAGGTAATGTAATACACAAAGAGGAAATATATTTATGCATGCGTGTAAATTGTTTACCCCACTGGATTGGATATCTTGGTAGTTCCGTTAGGTCTATGTTTAGACATAGAATGTGAAATGTTTTGGTAGATTATCCATTTCCGTCAATTTAATACATGATTACCATGGTGAAAAACTTCATTTTTGTTTTTAATCTTTGTTGGTGCAGTGATTTGGTCACACTTTTGGGTGGTGCTGTAGCTGGAATCCATTTCATGACAGATGAGCACTTTGGCATAAGTGTAGTTGAATACATGGCTGCTGGCGCGATACCAATTGGTTAGTCATGTTATGTAGTTTCTCTTGTTCTGTATTTAAGTATATGACTTATTTAGTTGACTTCAAGTTTGTCGGTTTCATTCAGCACATAATTCAGCTGGCCCAAGGATGGATATTGTGTTACCAGAAGATTCGAAGCAGACTGGGTTCCTTGCCCAGAGCGTAGAGGAATATGCTGAAGCCATTATTGAAGTCATTAAGATGCCAGAGAATGAGAGGCTGGAGATAGCTGTTGCTGCGAGGAAGCGAGCCTCCATGTTCTCAGAGCAAAGGTTTTATGAAGATTTTAAGGCTGCTGTGCGACCAATCATTTGTGATGGTACCAAATGATTACAAAATCTTTGTTTCCATAAATACAAGACATGAATTTTGTTGCAACATATTTAAACTTTGTCCTATCTTGTCTTTTTCTAGTTTTCCTTTCTTTATAAATTTTACTTTAGATTGTATTTATACTTTGTCAGTAACTTAGCCTTGAAGTTACTAATTACAGGAAAAAAGTCTGCCTCTGATTTGGCAGTTAGAATAAAAGAGATGGTCCTCCTTTCTTTAGATTTAGCTAAAGTAGATAGTCATATATACTGGCACGGCGGGGCGTTAAAGATAAAGGGAATAATATTTATGGGTCTAATGTCTGTCTGGTGAAAAAAAATTCAATTCCATCTTCAATTCATGTTGAATTTTGTGCAGCTACGTATTTTCTTAGGAGCTGTAAATTTTTCAATCACTTTTGCTGTGATGTTCATGCATTAAGCATATCCGAGAATTCATTTTCATTTTTATTTATTGTTGGGAAGGTGGGAAGGGGGATCTATATTATATTAAAAAGAGAGTAGTGAAGCACGTGGTTAAGCCAAGTAGCAAGCTAAAATTAAGCTACTTGGCAATTTTAAGACAACATAAAAAATTTAAATTAAATGGAAACATATTTAATGGAAGTAGTAGTCCAAGATTTTGTGTAAGTTCAATTTCATTCTTTAATTAATCAAAGCCAATTATTTTAAGATTTAAACTAAAAATAAAAATATTCTCTTTTTAATGACCAAATACTTACACAAAAAAAAAGATGTAATTTTCATTAAGCAAACCAATATACTATAACTATAGATATCTATATCTATATTCTATATTATATTAAAAGGAGAGCAGTGAACCATGTGGTTAAGCCAAGTGGCAAGCTAAAATGAAGTCACCTGGCAATTTTAAGACAACATAAAAATTTGAATTATAAATGGAAACATATTTAATGGACGTAGTAGTCCAAGATTTTGTGTAAGTTGAATTTTATTCTTTAATTAATCAAAGCCAATTATTTTAAGATTTAAACTAAAAACAAAAATATTCTCTTTTTAATGACCAAAAACGTACAAAAAAAGGATGTAATTTTCATTAAACAAACCAATATACTATAACTATAGATATCTTTAATTAAATTTGTGTATAATATAGATTTTGTGTATAATTCAATTATGGTATGTATCCTTTTTGAGAAAGAATCATTGTATATTACACATTAATCTATATTATATTAAAAGGAGAGTAGTGAAACATGTGGTTAAGCCAAGTGGCAAGCTAAAATGAAGCCACTTGGCAATTTTAAGACCACATAAAAAATTTGATTATAAATGGAAACATATTTAATGTAAGTAGTAGTCCAAGATTTTGTATAACTTGAATTTCATTCTTTAATTAATCAAAGCCAATTATTTTAAGATTTAAACTAAAAATAAAAATATTCTCTTTTTAATGTCCAAAGACGTACACAAAAAAAAGGATGTAATTTTCATTAAGCAAACTAATATACTATAACTATAGATATCTTTAATTAAATTTGTGTATAATATAGATTTTGTGTATAATTCAATTATGGTATGTATCCTTTTTGAGAAAGAGTCATTGTATATTACACATTAATTTTAAGTTAAAATAATAATTCTTTATTTAGTAGAAGCTTTGTATTTGGCCTTATTTGTAAATAATATACAATACTATATCTATCATATACATTACTATAGGTATCTTTAATTAAATTTTGTGTATAATTCATTTATGGTAAGTATCTTTTTTTGAGAAAGAATTAATTAAAATTTCGTTAATTTCGTTTTGTATCTTACAAAAATTTGAATTATAAATGAAAATATTTTTAATGGAAGTAGTAGTCCAAGATTTTCTGTAAGTTGAATTTCGTTCTTTAATTAATCAAAGCCAATTATTTTAAGATTTAAACTAAAAATAAAAATATTCTCTTCTTAATGACCAAAGACGTAAACAAAAAAAGGATGCAATTTTCATCAAGCAAACCAATATACTGTAACTATAGATATCTTTAATTAAATTTGTATATAATATAGATTTTGTGAATTCAATCATGGCATGTATCCTTTTTGAGAAAGAATCATTGTATATTACACATTAATTTTAAGTTAAAATAATAATTCTTTATTTAGTACAAGCTTTGTATTTGACCTTATTTGTGAACAATATACATTACTATAAGTATCATATACATTACTATAAGTATCTTTAATTAAATTTTGTGTATAATTCAGTTATGGTGTCACGACAAACCCGGACCCGGTCGTGATGGCGCCTCTCGTGAAGATAAGGCCAGCCAACTAACCCCAATTCGATATTAAACAGTTAAACAACAGGAAAACAGTCTAAAACATGATAAAATAATCCAAAGTAGCAGATAATGTCATAAATACGCGAAAGAACAACCCAACACAGCCCTAAACCGGCGTTTCACTAGTCATGAGCATCTACAAGTTCTAATATAAATATGAGAAGTCTATAAACTATTACAAATTGTTTGATATAGAGATAGAAATGACAAAGAGGGAGAAACACGAGTCTGCGGACGTCAAACAGCTACCTCGTGAACTCCGAATGTCCGCCGGGAGCTCTCAACTCGCACTGGCAGGATCAGCAACGCCTGAATCTGCACACAGGGGTGCAGGAAGTAAAGTGAGTACTCCAACTCAGTGAGTAACAAATGTAAATAAAGACTGAAAGCAAGAAATCACATAAGGCACAAAGCATTCTATAATGAAGCAGTAAAACCATTTAAAATCAGAGAATCAGTAAAAGATAGGTAAAATCCTTTAACTCAAATGTGTTTTCATGAAAAGCCTTTTTCAATACTTAAGCAGGTAATTGACAGTCAATTATGAAAAGTAAGCACATAAAGGCTCGTCCCTCGGGCACAGTATCAACAAATCCGCTCCTCGGGCAACATCTCAGAACAGTGCTAGCCCCTCGGGCAATCATATAGAACAATACCAGCCCCTCGGACTCAATCTCACATCACAATGGGTACCCGCACTCACTGGGGGTGTACAGACTCCTGAAAGGGCTCCTTACGGCCCAAGCGCAATATCAAGCCACCTCGTGGCATCATCACTAGGCCCTTGGCCTCATATCAATCAAGCCACCTCGTGGCGTACATGTCTCAGGCTCTCGGCCTCATAATCAGTATCAAATGTTTCCTCACAACATAGGCCCTCGGCCTTACTCAGTCAAAAATCCTCACAAGCAACTCAGGCAATAGTAAAACAGTGATTCTCAGCCCAATTATCATTTAAAAGGTCATTTAGGTATTAAAACTGAGTAAACATGGCTGATTATGAAAACAGTGGAAAATAACATGATTGAATTCAAGTATAAAGTCAAAACAGTGAGGAAATATCAATAAAAATCCCCGAAGGGTTCAAATAGTTGGCACGAAGCCGAAATATAGCGTTCAGCCCAAATAATGATGATCGCAAATAGATTTAAGTCAAATACGTGGTAAAATCATCAATCGGGACAGACCAAGTCACAAACCCCAATAGTGCACGATCCCACACTCGTCATCAAGCGTGTGCCTCACCTAAATATAGCACTACGATGTGAAATCCGGGGTTTTAAACCCTCAGAACATCTTGACAATCATTACTCACCTCGAACAGGTCAAATCTCTAGCTCGCGACGCCGTTGCCCCTCGAATCGGCCTCCCCTCGCGTCGAATCTATCCAAACCCAGAACGAGGACGTCAAAATATGCTAAGGGAACGAAGCCCAAGCAAAAACAATTAAAATATGACACAAATCCCGAATTTACCAAAACCCGACCCCACATCTCGGAATTCGATAATTTTTACATCAATAGATTCCTTATCTTCCCATGAGTTTATACATATCAAAAGTTCTCAAATCCGACCCCAAATGGTCCTTCAAATCCCCGATTAAAGGTCTAAGTTCACAAGCCCTAGTTTTCCCAATTTTCACCCTTAATTTCCATAATTTCTAGCTCTAATCCGTGAAATAACACCATAGGAACGAGTTTTAGGTTCAAATTCCTTACCTCAATGAAGTTCCCTTGAAATCCCTCTCTCAAATCGTCCAAAAAGCTCCAAAGTCGAGATAAAATGGTGAAATAGCTCAAAATTCACTAAGGCTACAATTTATACCTTCTGCCCAATCATTTTTGCATCTGCGGCTCTTTAACCGCTTCTGCAGTACCGCATTTACGGTTATTTCTCCGCTTCTGCGGATATCACTTAGTTTATGATTTTTCCGCTTCTGCTATCCCTCATCCTCATCTGCGACATCGCCGATGCGGTCCATCTCACCGCTTCTGCGGTTCCTGACTCCCTCAGCATTTTCCGCTTCTGCGGCTCCTCTTTCGCACGTGCGGCGTCGCACCTGCAGTCCCCAATCCGCAGGTGCGAAAATACTAGAAGAGCAAAGTTCAGCAGCTGCAACAAGGTTTCAACTCCCCGTCACCCATCCGAAATCATCCTGAGGCCCCCGTGACCTCAACCAAAAGTACAAACATATCCTAATACATTATTCGAACTTTTTCCAATCATCAAAACACCTCAACAATATCAAATCACCCAAAACACCTCAAACAACATCAAATCACCCAAAACACATCGAATTCAAGCCAAACTTTCTAAAATCTTCCGAATTCTGCTTTTGATCAAAACCCAACCAAACCACGTCCGAATGACTTGAAATTTTGCACGCACATCCCAAATGACACAATGGAACTACTACAACTCTCGGAATTCCATTCCGACCCCTATATAAAAATCTCTTTACCAACCGGAAATCGCCAAAATCTCAACTTCACCAATTCAAGCCTAAATCTACTACGAACCTCCAAAATTAATTTCGATCACGCTCTTAAGTCACAAATCACCTTCCGAAGCTAACCGAACTATCGGAACTCACATCCAAGCCCTCTAACACATAAGTCAATATCCAATTGACTTTTCCAACTTAAACTCACTTTAAAGAGACTAGGTGTCTCAAATCTTACCAAATCCTTTCCGAACTCTATCC